GAGAGAGAGCAAGCACAGGCAGACAGAATGGCAGGCAGAGGCAGAGGGAGAAGCAGGCTTCCTGATGAGCAAGGAGCCCGATGTGGGACTCGATCCCAGGACGCTGGGATCATGACCTGAGCCGAAGGCAGCTGCTTAACCAACTGAGCCACCCGGGCGTCCCAAATCAATAAAATCTTTAAAAAAAAAAAAGATTTTATTCATTTAGAGAGAGAGCGAGCACACAGGTGTGTGCAAGCGGAGAGAGGAACAGAGAGAATCTTCAAGCAGACTCAGTGCTGAACGCAGAGCCCGAGGCAGGTCTTGACCCCACCATCCTGAGATCACCATCTAAGCCAAAGCCAAGAGTCGGATGCTTAACCAATTCAGCCACTCAGGCGCCTCTATGTGGAGATTTTAGATTTTAGATTTTTAATCTATGCTGCTGCTATTATCATCTTCTCAGAACGCAGTATTCTGTATTTTGAAATCCCTTTATATGTTATCTCTTTGACTCTCTGAGATGCATTTTGTTTCTAGAAATAGTTCAATTTATTCTTTTTGAGCTTCGCTTGGTTATTCTTTATAGCTTATGGTTGCCTACTTATACTTTTACTTTTGTCAAAGTTCTTCTATTGCTTTAAACATATTAAACAGGGTTGTTTTATATTCTTTCCGATAATTCCAATGTCTGAAGCTGGACTGTTGTTTCTGTTGCTTTTTGCTCAAGGTACCTTGTTTCCTTTGGTGCTTAGTGATTTTTGACTGAGCTGAAACATTTGCCTTGGAAATTTATGTTTGGGGATGTTTCACGACCTGGGCTGAAGACGGTGCATGGACAATGTATAGTAGCTTTTAGTGTTCCTTTCGTTTTTATTTTTAACATAGAAGCCATTGCATTATGCCTTTTTATCTGCAACATAATTTTTTTCACCAAAATGCAATAGAGTATCACAGGGCTGTCATTGAAATGGTTGTAATGAATTGCCCTTTGCCTTATTCTCTGGGAACTGTAGGTGTATCCCGAGTTTGAAGACCAGAGAGCTTGTCTGCCATCAGGATCTTTTCTTACTTGTTCCTCAGACAACACCATCCGCTTTTGGAACATGGATAGCAGCCCTGACTCTCACTGGCAGAAAAACATCTTCAGTAACGTGAGTGGCTTAATTGTGAACCATATTTTAGGAGGAACAGAGACCTACTTTAATATAGGATATAGGGGCACGAGAGAGTCTTGTGGACCTTGGTATTAAGCTCCAGTGGGGGCAGGAGCCACGAAGCACTCTGTGTCTTCCTCTTTCTTGTGTCTCTCTGAGGTAGCACGGTCTGTCCTCCCTGCTTCTCTCTGCCAGTTGGCTCCTGATCTCTGGGTGTGTCAGCAGAGCTATTCCAGGCAACCTGACATATTCAAAAGAAATTGTTCCCCAGGTCTTGAGTCAGAGCTTCCTGGAAGAGCACCTGATGGACCAAACCAGGGAGAGGCTTCCCTGGTCTGACGCACTGTGAGGTCTTGGGTGCGGGTGCGGGCGGGACCCAAAGGGAACCACGATGGGAAGGTAGGGAGAAAACACTTTGCCGAAGAAATGGTTATTATTGCTAAGCCAGTGAGGGAGCTTCTCCAAAGAGTTAAGACGTGAATCATGCATTCATTTCATCTGCAGATGCTTAGTAAGATCTGCTAGGTGCTGCGCTGCCTGCTGGAGACACACCAATGCCCAAGACAGACCCTCCTCCTGCTCTTGCGGCTCCCACACTCCAGCAGGGAGAGGCAGACAGTGAACCAATAACCGTACAAATTATGATATAATCGTTTTAAAGATTTTATTTATTCATTTGGGGGATAGAGAGAGAGAGAGAGAAAGAACAGGCGGGGGCGGGGCAGAGGGAGAAACTGACTCTCTGCTGAGCAGGGAGCCCGACACAGAGCTCTATCCTGGGACCCTGGGTCCCCAGGATCATGACCTGAGCTGAAGGCGGATGCTTAACCGACTGAACCACCCAGGTGGCCCATAAATTATCATTTTTTTAAAAAGATTTATGTATTTATTTGAGAAAGAGCGCGAGTGGGGAGAGGGGATGAGTGTGGAGCCCAGTGCAGGGACAGACTCACAACCCTAAGATCATGACCTGAGCTGAAATCAAGAATTGGACTCTTAACCAACTGAGCCACCCTGGTACCCCTATGATAGAGTCATAAGCATGATAAGCACCATGAAAGAAAATTGCGAAGTGCTGGTAGGATATATAACAGTGTCATCTGATTTTATCTGTGGTGTCAGGGGCAGCTTCCTAGAGGAAGAGAAAACTGAGCTGAGGTATGGAAGATTGGAATGAGTAAAGAGGGGAGGGGAGAGTGTCCTATGCCAAGGGAATAGCCTGTGCAAAGGCCCTGAGGTAGGAAGGAGTTCGGTGAGTTGGAAAACCTGAGCAGTCAGTGTGGTTGGAACAAAAAAGGCCCTTAATGCAAGGTGTGTATAGCAGGTGCCCCTTTACCCCCCATACCTCCCCAACCCAGTACTACCATCTTCTCTTCCACACCTGTGATATATTTGGCTGCATACAATAGAAAACCCAAAATAAGAGGTGAAAGTTTGGTTTTTTGACCCATAAAAATAGTCTGGAGGTAACCAGTCCAAGCTGTCTTGGCAGCTGCAGGAGGCCCTTAGAGACCCAAGAGCCTTCAGCTCTCCACTCTGCCCCTTTGGAGTAGCCCTTGTCCTTGCCCTCCGGTATGGCTGCTGGAGCTCCAGGTAACAGGACAAATGAAAAGGGAGCAGAAGGGTTCTTGCTTGTTTTACATCTCATTGACCAGAATTTATTCACAGAGCCTCGTCTAGCTGCAGGGGAGGTTGGGAAACAGTTATTCTGAGTCGGGAAGGTTAAATGTGGAGTTCTGTTACTGATGAAGAGCAGGAGGTGGGCCATTGGGAGACAGAATTACAGAGGTGCTTCAGACCTTCCGAGAGCATTGACCTCAGCCCTCTCCTTCCCGCAGACCCTGCTGAAGGTAGTATACGTAGAGAATGACATCCAGCACCTGCAGGACATGTCCCACTTCCCTGACCGGGGTAGTGAGAACGCGACACCTGTGGACGTGAAGGCTGGCGTGCGAGTCATGCAGGTCAGTCCTGATGGCCAGCACTTGGCTTCAGGCGACCGAAGTGGAAATCTGAGGCAAGTGAGCCTGGGGGATGACGGGTGTATGCTTCCCAACTCAGGCTTTGGTCCTGAGGGTGAAGGGAAGGAGCCTTGGCCTCAGCACCTCTGCTTCCCCATTGGGAATGAGGGACTATGAATGGCAGTCTGGAAACCAGCCATCCCTGAGACCCTAAGCTGAGAGGTATCTTTCAGAAGGCTGAAATAGGGTAGCTCCCAGCACCTCAGCAGCTGGGCTTGCAAATGGTGCCTGTGTGGTAGACAGGCAAGCTTGTGTTCTAGGGTAGGGTGATACTTTTGCCAGCCACGTGACTCCAGTGCTGAACAGTCAGAGAGGATGCCAGCTGGAACATGGGGGGCCCTGGTGGCACCGGGAGAGGCCTGGGAGGATGGGACATTTGAGGACTCAGGCTGTTTACCCACACCACAGACTTTTTAAAAAGATGTTCCCAGACAAGTAGGTGCTGACAGAATGTGAGTGCTCTCATGGGGACCAGGCTTAAGTTGAGGAATGGCAGCTGTGACCACCTGGGTGCTGAGGCCAATGAAGAAAGGGGGGGGGTCATGTGCTCCATCTTAAAGGGGCAGCCACCACGCAGGAAAGGCCAGTGGTTAAGCTAAGATTACACAGGAGGAGTGGAGAACCTGGGATGACTGTGTCTTATATCATCCTAGATGGCCTGTTGGTTGGTTGATTTCATTTGGAGAGAGCGTTTCAGGAAAGTTTAGATTGAAAGTCTTTAAGAATGGGAAATTGGAATCAAGTATTCCTTACCATAGGTCCTATCCTTGAGCGTGATCTCTGACCCCTGGCCCTGCCCCGACTCAGAGGATTGTCCTAGACCTGGCGCATGGACCCATAAGGGTGGGGTGCCCACTTAGGTGCCCCAGGCTTGGCACTGTTGCCTTTAAGATAGCAGGTTTCTAGACGAGAAGAATGGTTGGGCGTCTCTAGACCAGTTGGCCAAGGCAGGGAGTTCCCCATGTTGTGGGGCTGGAGCTCTGACCTTTCCGAGCAGTGGCAGAGCACCTGGAGCCGAGGGGTGGGGACTCTGGGCAGGGTACAGTGGACAGTGTGTGTCTCCCAGGATCCACGAGCTGCACTTCATGGATGAGCTGGTCAAGGTGGAGGCCCATGATGCCGAGGTGCTGTGCCTGGAGTACTCCAAGCCCGAGACCGGTAAACCTCTGCGGGGTGGCAGGGGGACGGAGGGGAGCAGCCCCCCCGGCAGGGTCACAGAGACGGCTAGTTGATGTCTGGTGGGTCTGGGGGTGAGAGTAAGCACCCCTGCCGCTGGGCCTGCGACCAGGGTAGCTGGGACTCCAGGATGCGAGACTCTGGCAGGCAGAACTGGGCTGGAGCTGCTTGCCCTGGTTCCCAGTATCCTGAACAGCACTCAGGTTAAAGAGGTGAATGTTGAATGAGAGACTGTATGGCTAGATCAACAGTTATAGATCACATTATATATCAAATAATATCAAACATATTATTTTGAAAAAGTTGGATGCCTACAGGAAAACTGCAAAAGAATTAAAATAAATACCCATGTTCTCTTCACCCAGATTCCTCAGGTTATTTTTCTTCTAAATTCTGTCTGACTCGTGTGATTGTGTGCATGCCTTTATCTGCTTCCCCATCTCCATTTCTTTCTCCATGTTTGTGCACGCATGTGTACATATTCTCACATTAGTGAAATACTAGCATATACATTCCTTTTGCTGACTTGTTAGTAAGTTGAAGGCTTGACCTTTCACTCTTCAGTGGGTCTGTGAAGACATCCATTTATATGACCACATGCACCTATCAAATGTGGGCGTTTCTCTCTATCCTCTACTGTCCTCTCTTTTGTGGTCCTTATTCCCATTTTGCCGGCTGTCCCGGTGTTATCCTGGATAGCACCTTTGTATCTCCCGTCTGGGTTCACACTTGGGTTTTCATAGCTCTTTTTTTTTTTTTTTTTTTTTTAAAGATTTTTTTTTTTTTTTTGACAGAGAGAGATCACAAGCAGACAGGCAGGCAGAGAGAGAGAGAGAGGGAAGCAGGCTCCCCGCTGAGCAGAGAGCCCGATGCGGAACTCGATCCCAGGACCCTGAGATCATGACCCGAGCTGAAGGCAGCGGCTTAACCCACTGAGCCACCCAGGCACCCTTCATAGCTCTTTTATCACCTTTTTTCGGGAACATTTCCACAGCCTTAATTTGTCTTTATGACTTTCTGTGGACTATAGACCAGTCGTTTTGTAGAATTTCCTTCCATTTGAGTTTGTCTGTTTTCCTTATGATTTTTCATTCTGCTGATACATTTTTGACAGAACTTAGGTGGAGTCATGTCCTGATCAGTTAGCAATCTTTCCCACGCTCTTTCTTCCTTCTTCATTTCTCTGCACCCTCTGTCCCACCAATTTCTCTTGAGGTCTCTCTTCACTCAATACGTCCTTCCTGAGCTCCCCTCTGCCTCAGGTCATGTGTTTGCACTCAGATGTGCCAGGCGACCAGGGTAAGCGCTGTCTGAGGGGGTGCTCTGGCAGAAGAAGTGTGGCAGCGGGCTGTCAGTAGGACCGGGTCAAGACCTCTGTAGCTAGAGTGCAGAAAGGGAGGGAACGGTGTTCTGGGGAGACCGGGAAGTTGGCAGGGCTTCACGTGGCATGCCCAAGAGTTGGACTTGGCAGGAAGTAGTGCTGGGCTCTGCGAGGACGTCTGCTCTGGGCACGGGTGACAGAGCATCCGTGGGTACTTCAAGACTCATCCCCCTGAACTGGTGGCAGCGGGTGTGAAATGCCAGGGTTTGGGGGGCTCTGGGGAAACACTACAGAGAGCTGAGGGCATGGCCCCTTTCTGGGTTTGGGGCAAGTTGGCTTCAGGTATAGATCCAGAGCCCCCTTCTTCAGGGCCGGTGCTGTCTGGGAGGCCAGGGCATCAAGCGGCTGCCTGGGAACCCAGGGATACCCTGTCCACTCACAGGGCTGACCTTGCTGGCCTCGGCCAGTCGGGACCGACTGATCCACGTGCTGAACGTGGAGAAGAACTACAACCTGGAGCAGACCCTGGACGACCACTCCTCCTCCATCACGGCCATCAAGTTTGCTGGTGAGCCCCTTCCTCCCTGCTTCCTCCACCTTGTTTGCTGCGCTCCTTTGGCTACAAGTAGCAGCAAAATGTCTTTAGTTTAAACAAAAAAGGGAAAAGGAAGCTCTGGATTCACACCCAGCTGGATTCAAAGGTTGCTTTTTTGTTTTGTTTTGTTTTTTTCTCCTTATCAAGACTCTGTCAGCTGTGCCTTTCTGCAGTTGGGGTCACCTGGGTTATCACTGTGCCGCTGGAAGGAGACTTCCCCTCTTTCTGTCAGTTTTGGCGGAAATCGGGCGCTGACTTCCCTTGTGCTGGCTTGAGGCACCTGCGCTTTTCAGAACAGTTTCCAGTGCCAGGGCTTTGGGGTGTTTTCTTGGAGCAGGTGTGACTCATGTGCCCCCCAGCCCACACCTGCCTCTGCCTCTGATCCAGGAGGACTGGAATTAGGTGAATGTTGTTGCCCCAAAGGAAATCAGGATGCCAATCCTGTGAGAGGGCAACATGGACACTGGTGACCTTGGCAGGAAAAGAGGTGACCGTGAAAATTACTGGAAGCTAATTCTGTGCTGGCGAGGATCCTTGCACTGCGGTTAGCCCCTTCCTTACACCGCTCACAGCTAGAGTCACACAGCCAAGAGGTGCAGGCTTAGGATCTTGCCTAAGGCTGTCCTGCAAAGCCCACACTCAATTAGGAGATCAAAGGGATTTCCTCTAGACTCCAAAGATTCAACATGGAGGTCCTTGGCTCTAATGGATTCCAAGGGGAGAGGAGGCCCGTCCTGTAGGGTTTAACTGATCAGAACCCAAGAGCATATTCAAAACTATATTCCAGAAGAATCTGTCCATGGAGAGAATATATCCATGTACTCACTCTAAGTTCTTGACTGTGAAGAATTTTTTTTACATGTAATCTTGTGACTGAGAAGGTATTAATAACCCTTGGTCCTCCCCACTTCCTGCCCTACCTCTCTGTAACTAAAACAAGTCAACAATGGACAAAAGTTAACAGTGTTTGACGTGTCTTGTTGAAGATAGCCAGAACTTCTCAGACATCTTTAAAAACCTATTCCGTGGGATAGAGTTAGTTAGAATAAATCAGTAAGCCTAACAGTTTGGCCACCAGTGACCTCAGCGTTCATGAATGGATCTAAGAGCGGTGATGACAGTCCAAGGGGTAGCCCAGGAATTAGTCCTTAAGGCCACCTTCTGCAGGGTGTGGGTTTTCATCAGAGTCCCCAGCTAGTCTGACAAGACATAAGTCCTAGACCCAGCTCCTGAGTGCCCTGTTCCAGCTGGGCTTTTCTCAAAACATGGACAATTTTCGTATAAACTGGGCTCCAGCCAGTTGAAACCTAACAGCAGCTACCTTGCTAAAGAAGGATTCAGTCTTTAACAGTTTTATCTGAAACATATCCAAACAAATGAATACAATATGTGTATTTACAGAATAATACAATGAACTTCCCGTCAAGGTTCATAATCAGTGAGTATGCACTAGAACAGACACACGTATTGTTTATAACCAGTGACTGTTCTGATCACTGTGTTCTAACACTGCTAAGTGCTTGGGCTCCCCACCCCACAGAAACAGAACATTACCAGTAACTTGCAGGCCTCTCTGGGGCCCTCCCAGGTCACACTTGCTCGCCCACACAGGACTCACTCCCTTCCGGGGGCCAGTGACTCCTACCAGAGGGACAGCTTGCGTGTCAGGCCTGCACCCGCTAGGATGTCCTGCCATGAAACAGCAGGTCTGTGGTGCCAGGGCGTTATAATTTATCTCGGTGTTTTACATCTGTTCTGTCCTCACATCCTCACCATGACTGTGAGGTATATGTGCTGTTAGTATTCTAATCTATAAAGAAAGAAGAAAGGCAAGAATATGTAGAGTGCTTACCAGGAGGCAGCCACACTTCCACAGGCTTCACAAAACTCCATGGGATGGGAGCTATCATAGGCCCATTGTATAGACAGAAAACTGAGGCATGGAAAGAAAGCCAGGGCTCAGAGCACATTGTTTAGCCAGAAAATGCCTGAGTCTAATCTTGGCCCTGTCCTGACTCTCTGTGTGCCCTGGGGCAGGACTTTGTGACTCTCAGCCCCAAGTTCACACCTGTACAGTGGAACGGCCGGTGAGCAGTCAGGAGGGGAGACCCGTGTGGCATGGGCCCTGACCTGAGGTGCTCAGGATGGCCTGCACCTGCCAGTGGTCTGCCTGTCTCCACTTGCCCCCTGCTTTGATCCCACCTCCCCTCGGTTGCCCAAATCACCTTTCCAAATCCCAGATTGGACATGGTACCCCTTCTGTGTCTCTGGCCTGTTTCCCTATCTGCCCTTGCTCTGCAGAGGTCTGCCGAGCCACTGCTCTATCTGTCCCACTCATACAGCTCACATCTTAGAATACCACCTGCACCCAGTGCCCACTCACTACCTCCAGGAATCCCTCCCTGACCCGCAGCAGAGTTCCCCAGCAGTGAGCAACCTAGCTAGGATCCCTGCCCCCAGTCAGGCTCAGCAGTGGCCCAGTCTTGCCTAATGCACCCCCTCCTTCTCCTCCAGGCAATAGAGACATCCAGATGATCAGCTGTGGGGCTGACAAGAGCATCTACTTTCGCAGTGCCCAGCAGGTAGAGTGGGTTGGCCTCCTTGGGGGCTGGGGTGGGCAGCTTGTCGGGGGCATCCTCTGAAGGCCCCGCCTGCCCTGCCAGACCTCGGACGGACTACACTTTGTCCGCACCCACCACGTGGCAGAGAAGACCACCTTGTATGACATGGACATTGACATCACCCAAAAGTATGTGGCTGTGGCCTGCCAGGACCGCAATGTGAGGTAAGGAGCTGCCCTGGGCTCTGAGTCGGCCCGGACTGGTTTCTGAGCAGAGCCTGTGGTTGGGTCTGTTTTCTTCCCCCTGCTCATCCGGTCCCTGAGGAGCTAGGCGCTGTGGAGAGACCCAGCGGGTGTTTCTTAGGAGCTGGGCTCACCCAGGCCTAGCCTCCAGGTCAGCAAAGGGGTTCCTTCTGGGTCTCCAGAGTTCTGTGTGGGCTGACTCAGAGGTGCTGATGTGGCTCATCAGTTCATTCTCTCCCCTACATTCCCTGAGCACCCAAGCTGGGACGGATGGTGCAGGAGATGCAGCAGCGAGCAGGGCAGCCGCGGGCCCTGCCTTCATGGAACTCCCAGTCCAAGTGAGGCAAGATGGATACCTCACTAGACGGTGACAGCAGGGAGCAATCAGGGCTGGGAGAGCCCAGGGGACTTGAGGGATCCAGACACCTGATCCTACCTGGGGATCAAGCAGGTCTTGATGGAAGGAGCATCTGAATTGAGACTGGGAAGGATGTGGAGGAATGAGCTGGGGAGCGGAGAGCTTGTGCCAAGAGGTTCTCCATCTCTTGCATCTGCTCATTCAAATTGAGGGCCAGGCACCCGCCCTGCTTGCTCTGTAGCGGGGAAGATAGACATTACCTCAACGGACACTGACTCCGTGGGTACCCCAGTACATAACCTCCATGACCTCAGCCTCAGATGGCATCTCATTCTCCAGGGATCAGACGGGGGCTGAGAGGGGGCAAGGGGCTTCCAGGGGCGAGGAAGACGGTCGGTAAGGCTGGAACCAGAATGCAAGAGGGGGCAGGTGGACAGGGCCACGTTGGCCACGTTGTGCCCCCACCTCCCCAGAGTCTACAATACCGTGAATGGGAAGCAGAAGAAGTGCTACAAGGGCTCACAGGGTGACGAAGGGTCCCTGCTCAAGGTGAGTAGAAGGGGCCCCGGGTGGAAAGCGCACACATCCCCCATCCGCCTGCTGCCCTGACCGTGGCCTCCTGGGCACCTGACCAAAGGGTCACAAGTTGGCCAGCACCCACTCTGGCCTGGCTGACCAAGGTTGCTTGGGAGCTTGGGGAGGGATAACCCCGACTAGTTTACCTTTATTTACTGAGCCCTTTTCCAAACCAGGACATTTAAGTGGTTTCTGTTTTGAGTGGCCATGGTGTGGTGAGAACAACCCAAGAGGCCTGGGGGAACTTCTCAGAGCCCCTGGAGGAGGGGAGTTATGAGTTCAGGCGTCAAGGTCAGACTCTCGCAGCTGTCTTGGGCTATGACCTTGGGCAAGCATCGTCCTCTGAAGCCTGTTTAATCACCTGTAAAATGCAGATAGAAAGAACCTCCATCACAGGCTTTTCTCTGGGAGAAATCAGTCTGCACATGTACAGTGCTTGACCCAGGGCCTGGTTGGCCGTTTTTTCACCTGTGAAATGGAAGCAGGAGTTCCATCCTCACCAGGGAGGCTGTGAGGTTTGACCCGGCCTCGCCATAGGGAAGAAGCAGCCAGCCCCGCTGTCACAGGGATCCTCTTCTTTCCAGGTCCACGTGGACCCCTCAGGCACCTTCCTGGCCACCAGCTGCTCCGACAAAAGCATCTCGGTGATTGACTTTTACTCGGGCGAGTGCGTTGCCAAGATGTTTGGTCACTCAGGTGGGTGTGCCTCCCTACATGGGACACCTCCTCATGCGCCCCCACACAGCCTTCTGACTCAGAAGGGCAGCACAGCTTCTCTGCTCTGCTTTCAGAAATCGTTACCGGCATGAAGTTCACCTACGACTGTCGTCATTTGATCACAGTATCCGGAGACAGGTGGGAAAGCTCTGGAGGCTGTGCCTGGCTGGCCTCCCCAGGGAGTGGGCAAGACCATTACTGTGGGGCGTGCAGGGGCTCAGACAGCGGGAACACCACGCTCCCGGACTGCCCTGCCCATGCAGAGAGCTCTGCCGAGGGCTCCACCTTACAGCTCTCTCCTTTGATGGTGTGGACCTTGGTGTCACACCCAGCTCGGAGATCACACATCTGCCACTTATGTGGCATCTTGAGCAGGTTATTTCCTATCTCTGAGCCTCAGTTTGCTTGTCTGTAAAAGATGATCCCAGGGTCCTGGACAGTTACGCAGTGAGAATCAAATGAGGTGGCATATAAAGTCCTAAGCGTGTGGTTGGTGCCCAAAGAAGTCTCTCTTGTCGCTCCCTTTGGTTCAGTACAGTCCTTCCCCAGCCCCTTCCTTGAGTTTTGAGGACGTCAGAACAGGTCCTGGTTGGCTGGGAGGCTTTGAACCCTGCCCAGGGTGTAGACCCCACGTGGCCTGGAACCCCTGCCCCCACCCCAAACGGAAGGTGGGTGTTTTCTGGGAGGGGTCAGGGAATGGGGTCTTGGCTGTGGTAACCCAGGGGGCTCCAGGGTCTGACAGCTTCCGTGTCTCCTGTTGCTCTCCCTTCCGCATCTCTCTCTGGCCTCTGCAGCTGCGTGTTCATCTGGCACCTGGGCCCAGAGATTACGAACTGCATGAAGCAGCACTTGCTAGAGATCGACCACCGGGAGCAGCAGCAGCAGCAGCAGCAAATGAAGGACGGGAAGTGGAGCAGCCAGCCCAGGTCCTGGCAGTGACCTAGCCCTCCGCCATTTGTCTGTCTGCCAGAGAAGTGTCTTCCTGCCCTGGGCCCCTGAGGAATGACACCAAAGGCAGCCATGGCCAGGACGGCCCTAGGCCCTGCTTGTGTGCAGCCGTGGCCTCGATGAGGAAACAGATTTTGAGTACAAGTTTTTGAAAGTATATGGGAGAAGGGTTTTGAAGTGGAAAAGCAAAATGGAGAGCCTGTGAGCACTGTGATGGGAGAAGGAGCTCCAGGGAACTGTGGGGACAGGGGGAGGCCCCCGACCCAGTGTGCAGTGAGAAGGGAAGGCTCTGGCAGAGGGTCCTTACTCTTCATCGTTTTTATGCTACAAGACCAGTTTTATTTGGAGTGGAGTCGTATTCTAATTTTTGGTTAGGGGTTTTATTTGGAGGTCTCACTCGAGTGGGGGATTTCGGGTCTTATCCTCTCTCTTGCCTCTAGAGCTGTCTTGCCTTTCTCTGCCTTGAGGCTTTGCCGTTGCCTCCCCGCAGGGACCAGACCTAAGCATGAGCCTCCCGTCCTGCATAGTATTGAAGGTCTTGCCAATCTAGGTACCAAGGGCATGGGGAGCTCCTCTCAGCTTCTGGTTTTGAGGCTTCCACATTGTCCCAGGTGCCCTCCAGTGCCCACCTGTGTCAGGCGTGTTTTAGGGTCCTGTACTCCAAAAGAGATAAAACCTTATTGCTACCCCCCTCATACACACTTCCCAGAATGAAGTACACAGCTTAGTACTAAAGCCCCTACTGTCTGCTTTGCTTTCTGTCCTCTGGCTATTGCATTTAGAGAGTTTGTCTTATTCTTTAAGCTCAGTCTTTGTAATATCTAATTTATTATGGTGATATTTCCAGCAGAGCTGGTGTGGCAGGGAGAGCTCCCAGCACCATCCTGACCAGAAGTCAGTAATATATGCATATGGAAGCTAGCACAGGGCCCAGCCCTAGACACCTCACTGACCCTCCAAACCACCACAACATTTACCTATTTCTCTCCTTGCCGTTCTCATTCCTGGCCTCAGGCAGGAGACCTATACATCTGTGCCCAGTGAGATTTGCTCCTTAAGCCCTGGAGAGCAGACAGAGGATGAGCTGGAAGAAGAGTGTGAACCGGAAGAGTTGCTGAAGACACCTTCCAAAGAGAGCTTGGACCCAGGTTGGGAAAGGGGTCCATCCGAAGGGGCCCTATTTGAACTCTTGGTATAGGGATCATTGCTGGGTTTCGCCCACCACTTGGAAATGAAGCCCAATAACCGTATCAGTCAGGACTCCCTCAGTGTAATAGCAGTCAGACTCTCACTGGCTTTAGCTGGAAAGAGAATTTATTGGATCATACACCTGAAAATCGCCTTATTGGCTTCAGGCAATAGCTGGACTCCTGTCGTCAGGTGATGTTAAAGGAATTTATTTTTCTCCACCTTTTGGCACTGCTTTTCTCCATGTTGGCTTTGCTCTCAGGCAGACTCTCCCTTTCCTGGTGGCAGAGTCCCCCCAGCAGCTCTAGGTGATAAAACTCTAGAGAAGAGAGCATCTTTTTCCCTGTAGCTCAAGCAAAAGCCTGGTGTTGTGACTCACGTTTCCAGTGTGAGTCATGGTGGCCATTTCTGAGCCTGTAGCTGTGATTGGCCAGGCCTGAGTCATGTGGTCATCCCTGAAGGGCCACTGGAGCCACGTGACCAAAGAAGGTGGTCAGGGGTGCAGGGGATATCCCCGGGGAAAAACAAGGTGCTATTAACCAGAAGGCAACACATTCTGTTTGTTCAGGCAGAAAGGAGAACAGTAGCTCAATGACTTTGTAGCAGGCCAGGCTTTCTCTAAATTTCTGCCCTTCTGCATGTTGCCTTGGCTTAGGCCCTCATGGCTGCAAGATGGCTGTTGGTTGCATAGGACAGTGCCTCTTCCAACCTCCTTTGGAGAGGACACTTGCCCAGAAGCTCCCCGCAGGCTTCTCTCAGGTTCCATCGGCCATGGTTGCTCCAGCTAAGAGAGGCTGGGGGCTTTCAGTGTGGGGCAAGGTCCTCTGCCAACAGGGGCTGACTAGACCGTAGGCAACAGTAATGTAAGAATTCAGCCTTGGAAAAAAGTCAGAGTAAGCAAATTTTCTTTGTTGCCACCCTCACACCCAATCCCATGTTCTCTCCAAGGTGGCTGCTTCTGTCAGTTTCTTATGAGTCCTTCTAGGCCTTTTCCGGAACGTTAATATGCATATGGACACAGCCATTAGAACATGTCATATTTATGTACATAAACTGTATTCTACTATAGACATCATTCAGTAGCTTTTTCCTCTCAGAAGTATCTTTTCAGGGTGCCTGGGTCGCTCAGTCAGTCTGACTCTTGGTTTCGGCTTAGGTCATGATCTCAGGGTCGTGAGATCAAGCCCTGCGTCGGGCTCTATGCTTAGTGTGGAGTCTGCCTGTGATTCCTTCCCTCTTCCTTCCCCTCCCCTTCTGCTCCTCATGCTTGTGCACACTCTCTCTCTCTCTCTCAAATGAATACGTAAATTTTTTTTGAAAAAGAGAAGAAATATCAACCTCTGTCAAATGAATAAACTCTTTAAAAAAGAAAACAGGAAAAAAAAAGAAAACAGGAAGAAATATTCACCTATTGATGGATACAAAAGAGAGGACTCCCTCTTTTTTTTTAAGGATTTTATTTATTTAGAGAGAGGATGAGTGCAAGTGGTGGGGGCGCAGAGGGAGAGGGAGAGAGTCTCAAGCAGACACCACGCTGAGCGGGGAATCCGGTGCAGGACTGGATCTCAGCACCCTGAGATCATGACCAGAGCCTGAGCCAAAATTGAGTCAGATGCTCAACCAACTGAGCCACCTAGGTGCCCCACATGCCTCCCTCTTTTAAGCAGCATAGTAGGATATTTTAAGGTATTTGCCTCTGGAAGGACATTTAGGGTTTTCTAACTGTGCACTTTTGTGATAAGGCCGTGCTGACCACTCCTAGGCCTCTCCAGGCCCATGTGAGAGTTTCTCCAGGACGGACGTGAGGGCTGGCGTTTAGTACACTTTTTATTTCAGAAGAGACCCCCAGGGTCCCCACATCATGTTACTGCCCCACCTAGCAGTCAACTTAAGCCCTCCGCTCTCCCACGCTTTTGCCAACACTTGATAATATAAAGCATTTTAATTTTGGTCCGTTGTATAAATTTGCATTTTCCTGACAATTAGTAAGGTTGAACATCTTTTGGTCTTTCTGTCTGTTCCTTGTATTGTCTCTTTGGAGAATTGCCGATTTATGTACGTTGCCCGTTTGTCTGTTGGGTTGTTTATTCTCTCTTCATGGATTCCGTGTGTCTCTCCAGATCCTCGGTGTCTGCTGACCAACGGCAAACTGCCCCTCTGGGCAAAGCGGCTGGTGAGTCTGCCCGGAGACTGGGGCACCAATAGCTGGCAAAGTAGGGGTGCTCTCCTTCATGCTCTTCTTTCTTCTGGAAGCCTGTTTCCCTCCCTGCATCTCTCCTTCCCCTGGAGAACCCCATCATCCTTCCAGTCTCCGCCTAGACAGTCCTTCATTCGTGTAACACACAGAGCGAACACCTCCCCTGGGCCAGCCTTGTTCTGAGCATTCCTTATGGCAGGGAGCGAGGCAGACCTTCACAGGCTCATTTTCTAGAATGGGACATGGACAGTATCCACATCAGTGAGTTGTATAGTATTTTGGGAGCTGATAAGTGCTGTGGAGGAAAAAAATTGAGAAGGAAAATAACAAGTATTGGGGAAAGGGGACAACAATTTTAGGATAAACAGAAAAAGCCTCACTGGGAAGGTGATATTTGAACAGAGTTGAAGCAAGGGAGAAGTAAAGTTCCTGGGAAAGAATGTTCCTGGAAAAGAGCAGTATGCAAGACAGAGACCGTGAGGCAAGATTGTGCCTTTTAGCATGTTCAAAGAGGTACAGGGAGGCCCAGCTGCCTGGGTTGAGGGTGAATGAGGGACAGGGTTGGGGAGAGAGGGGATGGGGGCCACCGTGTGGGCTGTGATGCGTTCCCTAAACACTCCTCGTTGTCCACCCCACTTATTTTTGCCCATGGCACCGAGTGAGATGGAGGTAAGGGAGGGCTCTGAGCTGAGGAAGGTCATGGTGTGGCATCAAGTGTGAACATGAGGAGCAAGCGGGGGACCTGGGAGGAGACTGTTGGGATCATGCAGGCAAGAGAGGTGGGAGACTGGATAGATTTTGAAGGTGAAACCAAATGACTGGATGTGAGAGAAAGAAGATGATGTTAGGATCGAATGATTGATCGTTACTTAGCGGAGGGGCAGGCTAGGAGCCAATGGGTTAGAAGCTGGCGCAGAATTCTCCACCCAAGGTTGGATGATTTATTTCAGTAGCAGTGTCAGTCTTCAGATCAGACCCTGTCGGCTCCTCAGGGAAATCCTCCCTGCCATCCCCTCCCCTGCAGACCAGATCTCTCAAGACCCCAAGCTTCCCCTTACCCGTGAATGCTACAGGTGGGATTCCCTTCAAGAAACATGCACAGCACCTTACTCTGTAGGCTCTCTTCCAAGTAGTTTAAATGTATTATCTCATTTAATCCCCAGTAAGATGTAGGAGCTTTTCATATCCCTATTTCACACATGGAGAAGCTGAGGCACAGAGAAGTTAAGTAACTCGTCCGGAGTCACACAGCTAGGAATTCAAAGACATGGGCTGCTCCAGAGCCGAGATCTTAAGCAGACACCCTCCACTGTCTCTCAAGCCATAGTCTTACGTGGAAGCAACACTGGGCAGGACCAGGGTTGGAGAAGTGGCCATATCTTGGATGTGTTTGGATGGCGGAGGTGAGGGAATTTGCTGAAGAAATGCAATGTGGAGTCTGAGGGACAGTATAAGAATAAAGGACAACCTCAAGGTGCTGGGGCCTGAGCAACAGGTGAGAATAAGGCTTTAGGAGGAGCCGATCTGTGGGGATCAGGAGTTACTTTCAATATGTTCGCTTTGAAATACCACTAAGGATCCGTATAGTGTAGAGTAGTTGCACATGCATGTCTGGAATTTAACAGATTCAGGCTGGAGATGTTTCTCTGGAGGCTGTTGCTGAGTAGTGATTAAAGCCAAGAGACGGGATGGAGTCCATGCAGAGTCCCTGGCTCCTGTCAGAGTTGGTGAGCTCTTGGCTAGCTGCCTGACCATCCCGTGTCACCCTCAGCTAGGCGACGATGACGTGGCAGATGGCTCAGCCTTCCATGCCAAGCGCAGCTACCAGCCGCATGGCCGCTGGGCGGAGCGGGCTGACCAGGAGCCCCTCAAGACGATCCTGGATGCCCGGGACCTGGATTGCTACTTCACCCCCATGAAGCCTGAGAGCCTGGAGGACTCGATTCTGGATACGGTGGAGCCCCAGAGCCTGGCGGCCATACTGAGTGAGGTACGGGCCGCCCCAGCCCAGCCCACAGTCCCCACGCTGTGACTGCCCACCCAGGACTTGGGCCTTGGCAGTCTCATTTTGGAAATCAAGCTGAGTGTCTCGCTCTAGGGGTGCAAGATAATTACATGACATGGTGGAGGGAAGGAGGGTGAGGCCCTGCCTCTGGTGCAAGTGAGACTTCCCAGGAGGCTGGGAGCTGGGTCCCTTGGTGGCTGGCTGGGGGGACAGGGAGGGACATTTGAGCAAGTAGAGCCGGGGTCCTAACCCTTCTCTGCTGTGTGAGACTTGCCAGAAGACTTGCTTCCCTAGGCTTCTGCTTTCAGAAAAGAAATGGTCATTAAAAAAGGGGGGGGGATTTCTAAAAAATGGGCATAAAAAGAAAGCCCTCAGAGGGCTTTGACAGGAATCCAGCACCAAGAATAGGGCCTGGGCCCTCAGAAGTGCCAAGGCAACTTCAGCTCTGGTTCTGTTATTGTCCAAACAAAATTATTTTTTATTCTATTGTATAAACTATCCTTTTTACTGTGAAATACACACATACACTTGTGTGTACCAATCATAGGTATACAGCTTGACGATTCCCTCTGTGTACACCTATGTATCCCCCACCCAGGCCAAAATATTGAGTATTTTCTATCTCCTGGAAGACCCCCTTGTGCCCCTCCTAATCAGTACTCACACCTGAGGTAACCAGCCTTCTGGCCTCTCGCCAAGGATTCGTTTGTCTATTCTTGAACGTCATATGAATTGACTCTTAGAGGATCAGAGCCTTACCTGTAAGGGGCTGGTTGATGGTCATGACGGAGGAGAGCAGAATGAGTTCGGAATGAGCACGTCACTTGGCCGAGGCCCTGGCTCACAGTGAGGGCCCAGCCTGTCTTTCCTGTTACCGTGGGTGTCGGCAGCACAGCTGGCGGCTTGCAGGGGACCCTGGCTGCCAGGCTGCCTCCGATGGCTGTGCCCCCCTCACCCCACAGTCAGAGAGTCCCCAGGAAGTTGGCTGTGGGCATCCCTCCTTCCTGCCCCTACAGAGGGAGTCCTCCGAGGACAGCGAGCTCATCATTTACTCCCTGGAGGCGGAGGTGACGGTCACAGGGGCAGACAGGTGGGTGTCCTCTGCACCAGGGGAAGCCTTAAGGCGTTGGAAGAACTGCCATGGGCCTGCAGAAGTGGGGTGGAGCAGTAAGGCCGGGTGGCACGGGAGCCTGGCCCTGCAGCCTCAGTTTCCCTGGTTCTAGGTGGAGGTGCAGGGAGCTCTGGCAGGAGGGAGTCGAGGCGAGGCAGTGCTCAGCAAGACCAGGACACACATGTCTTAGGGCCTCGGGGTGTAGGCCAGCTGCTTACTACCTAGCATGTTCTCATTCCTTCTCCCCACCCTCCCTGGCACTGCAGTGAATACAGCACAAAGGACATCAAGGGGGAGCCCAGAGACCAGCAAGGTGACTCCTACCTCAGAATCTCCTCCATCAGCCCAAAGGATCAGAGCCCACCTGAGGGTGAGTGGCAGCAGGCAGAGACCCCGCAGTAGTCTGTTTGTCCAGCCAAAGCCCCTTTCTGGGTATTAATAGTGACTCTGACTCAGTCTCCCTAAAGCTCAGAGTCTATCACGGAGGCAGACGTGGTCCCTGCTGTGACCTGAGGGTTCTTGAGCCCAGCTGCTCTACTGGCAGGAGCCTAGCTCTGCCACTCCCTCGAAGTATAAACTTGCTGGTCCATAAAAATGGAGAGTGGGTATCATTACCCCCATTCTCCAGATTGGAAAACTGAAGCCCTGGGACCCTGAGCTACCTACCTGACTCCCCCAGTGAGGGTCTGGCTTTCGGCTCCTGACTCCCACTCTGCCCCTCCAGACTCGGGAGAATCCGAGGCCGACTTGGAGTGCAGCTTCACCACCATCCAGTCCCCCCCTCCACAGCCAGCCCTGGACCCTCGGTTTGACATGATGATGCCCCCCACGGCGGGTGAGCAGGGCCCAGATGTGGGAAGATGGTGCATGGGACTCACTAGGGGATGGTGATGCTAGATAATCACTTTCCCCACATCAGCCCCGCACTTAGTGCCCACTAAGCCTCTGTTTCCTTGCCCAGAAGGTGGAGCCATTAGCTTCTCCTCGGTCTAGTGGTAACAGGGTGTGTGATGGGCGAGTCCAGTTTTCTCCATTGTTAAGTGTCTGGCGTCTTTGTCTGGGCGTCTGCTGTGACTCACGGTGTTGACGATTCTCTCCTCGCCCCCTTCGCCTCCCTTTGCCTCTCCCCAGGATGCCCAGGTACCGCAGAAGAGTTATCCCAGCCCGAGGTGCCAGGCATACCCAACGGCTCCCTGCCCCAGACCCCTGAGCAGGAGAAGTTCCTGCGCCACCACTTCGAGACGCTCACCGACGCTCACCCCGAGGGTAGGGCCCTGCCTGGGCAGGCCATCCAGTGCTGGGCACGGTGTGGGTGTTTCGGGTACGGCTTCCTTGCAGGGCTGGCAAGGGTGGTAGGAAGGCTTTACATTTTCTTGTAAGGACTAAGCCACGCAGGCTCCTCTCCCTGCTATGTTTGCTCCCTGGGCGCATGCGTGGTCTGTTGACGGTGTTTCTGGGGATCCACCTGCTGGTCTGCAGGCCTTCCTGGGCCCAGGGCTGGGTGGCTGGAGAGATTCTGAGGGCTCCCTGGTCATCTTCTAGAGCTCTTTCATGGATCCCTGAGAGACTTGGAGGCCTCGGAGACCGAGGACTTCTTCAATCCCCGGCTGAGCATCTCGGCCCAGTTCCTTTCACGCCTCCAGAAGACATCCAGGTAAGAGCCGGTGAACCCTCACTCCACCCCCATCTCTCTCTACCCCCCAGGGTGGGGCTGCATCCCCTCAGGAACCCTCAGGACAGCAATGACTGCCTGGTTTCCTTCCCACAGGTTCACCCACAGCTTCCCTCCCCAGCTGCCCTTGCACCTGGTAAAGTCTCCAGAGGTCAAGTTCACGGAGCTGGGGGGCAGCCAGTCCAGAGCAGAGCCTCTGAGAGCAGGCACTGGCTACACCTCCCCAGGCAGGACCAACGTGAGTACTGGGACCGCCTCCCTCAGGACTTGGGGCTGGGAGCCCGGAGGCTTTGTCCTCGCCTCATGGCTGTGCACGCAGGTCCTCACTGGGAAAAAGGCTGAGGAGCCCCTTGAGACCCTGGAGGCCTGGCGCCCACTGAGTGAGTGCCCCCCCCTCCCGCAGGCAGACAAATGGCCCTGGATGCCCATCAGAACTATGGGGCAGCGGGGATGGGCAGGGTCCCCTCAGACCCCGAAGCCACCTGGGGAGGGCCCCCATCTATTGGCTCTGTGGCTGGGCTGTGAGAGTGAGCTGGCCACTTCCTTTACACCCCCCTGCCTCCCAGGCCGGGCGCCCTGTGCCCTCTCCTCCTCAGCGCTGCCCACTGACGGGAAGCCTTCGACGCCCACAGTGCTACCCACTCCAGGCCTGGCTCAGGGTGTCCACGGCCCCTCCACCCACCCCTACATGGAGGCCACAGCCAGCTCCCGTGCCAAGATGTCACGCAGCATCTCCCTCGACAGTGAGGGCCCTGTCCTGGCTGAGCTGGCCAGGCCCCTCCACAGGCCCTCCTCCATGGGGGACCTGGCGTCCTTGGGCCAGGAGCTCCAGGCCATCCCCACCATGGCAGCACCCAGTTCTAACAGCGAGAGCCGAGAACCTGCCTTGTCATCCTGGGGCAACCACGAGGCCCGGGCCAGCCTGAGGCTGACCCTGTCAAGCATCTGTGACAAGCTCTTGCTGCCCTCTCCCCCTCTGGAATCTGCGGCCACCCAGCCCAGTGTCACCGTCACAACAGCCACCTTCCCAGTCCCCAGCCCTGTGGACGCAAGCTCCCTGAAGCTCCACAATTCCACCTTCCTCCCAAGGCTCCTGGTCCCTGGGCCCCTCAACACCCCTGCCCACCCCAATAGCACCCCACTTCCAGAGGCCAGGCCTGGGGTCCCTGACAGTGTCAACTCCTTCCTGGAGCCCACCTCTCGTAAGTACCACTCTTGGGGCAAGGGACTGTCCCCCAGGCTCTTCCCATGTACAGCTGGCTTAGCTCCAAAGGTGGCCCCTTGACCTGGTCACAGGGGTTGCTCCATTCATTTATTTGTTCATTGGTTCATTTAGATATTTAGTGAGCACTTCGTATGTGTTGGGCTTTGTTCTAGACCCTGGGCCCATGGGGCATGGTTGTCAACAAGACTACGAAGAGTGGACACCTTCAGTGGGGAGATGGCCAGACTAAATGGAAAGCAAAGTGTTAAGAGTATCCCAAAGGCGTATGAGCTAAGGACAGAAATAAGAGAAAGGGTTTAGGGAGTGAGAAGGTGGGGGGCAGTGGTTACAGTTTTAAGCAGGATAATGAGAAAAGGCTTCAAGTAGTAGGGGGCATTTGAGCAGAGAGGGAAGGAAGTGAGCCTTAGGGGACTGAGGGACAGGGGACAGCTGTTGGGATCAGCCCGGCCACCCTAGCCTCTCTTAGATCAGCTAAAAAGTGGAGGTGTCTTTCTCATTCCCTCCCCTCTAGCCCCAGATGCCCTCAGTCTGGTCCAGGGCAGCCCTGGACACTGGGAGGAGCCTGGGGTGCCGGCCAGGGTCCTGCCCCCAGCTCCCCTTGAACTGAGCAGCGTGAGCACTGTCGTGCACAGACTGCAGACTGCCTTCCAAGAAGCCCTGGACCTTTACCACCTGGTGAGTGCAGCCCTGGGGCCAGAGGAGAGGGCTGGGCGGCTCCCCGGGGCTGCTGGGGCTGGGTGGCCCCTGACAAGTTTGGTACTCCCTTGCAGATGGTCTCCAGTGACCCTGGGAGCACTGACCAGCAGCGGCAGGCACGGGCCGAGCTGGCCTCTACCTTTCTTTGGATCCGTAACCAGTTAGAGGCCAGTGACTGGCTGGTTGGGACTGATGTGGCCCAGGCCCAGCACAGCCCAGGTGCCCCCTCCCCAACGACGCTGTGCCCCCTGGCCAGCCCAGATTTGCACGCCCTGCTGGAACACTACTCAGAGCTGCTGGTGCAGGCCGTGCGGAGGAAGGCACGGGGAGACTGAGGGCTGGAAGCCCCCTCTCCACGACAGCCCTGCTGCTTCGGAAGAACTAGGTGTCTTAAGCAAATAAACCGACAGCTTAGAGGAATGGTTCCTGGTGCCTCTCGGGGTGCCTGCACAGAGCCCCCTCATGTGGATGCTGGGGAAGGAGGGTGGACAGCGGTCTTGTGTCGGGCCAGCCTGGGGAACGTGGGTCGATGAACTTTGGAAGGGATGACATTTGTATGCAGCAGGGTTGGCCACCTAATGTTGTACCCTCATCTGCTCTTCCTCTTCCTGTCTCACCTGGGGGACATCAGCCCCAGTGCCTGTCTTGTTCAGGACTCCATCAGTGGGACCAACATTCCCAAGAAATTTGGGAACTGCAATAATGACGATCCCAACACCTGGATCCCATGTCATCCATCCCCACGGAGCTGCTCTGGAGTCAGCTGGGGTCCTTGCCCAGGGATGCCCAGCTATTTTCCCAAGGAGGGGCCAGCCCTTCCTCCCTGCCCCCTTACTGGTGCCCAAGAACCCACTAGAGCCACTGCCATCACCATGTGCCAGACCCTGGCTCCCAGGACACACACTGCCACCCCACTGGTTCGTGGCCCCCAGGCCAAGCCCAGGTTGGATCCTATGAGGTCCAGACTTTTGCCCCCACCTGCAGCAGTGGAAATAGAGGAGAACCCAGCAAGCTCACTGACTGGATAATCGGGCAGCGTGCCCAGACCCTCCAGCAGCTGGGACAAGGAATTCTCTCCCCAGCAGGACTCTATCCAGATTCAACCCATGAGCTCCCAGCTGTGGTACCAGCTTCCCCAGGCAGCAGGCATCTAGCCATGTGGTATGTCTGCCAAGAACTGTGACCACTCTTGTGACCACAAAAGCCCCCACTGTCCCAATTCTCTATAAAAAGGAAGCCGGCAAGGGAGGGCCCTCTGCTGTCTCTGGAAACATTGACACACATCACAACCAATCATGCCATTTGAAAAATCCTGCCGGGTACCTGTCTGTCGTACATGTCAGGGGTAGGGAGAGGAACAAGACAAGCAAAGCATCTGCCCGCATGGTATTAGCCTTCTAGAAAGCAAAACGGGAATTAAAACAGTATCTGTAGGTAAGCTGAGGGAGTTCACTGTGCTGGTTGGATGAGCCAGGGGAAGGTCTTTGTGGGGTGACATTTGAGCTGAGGCCCGACAGAAGGCACAGGTCACGTGGACATCTTGGGAAGGTATCCAAGCAGAACAGCCAGTACAAACACCCCACTCGGGATCAAACATATGGAAGGAATGGAGTGAGGAGAAAGGGTAAGAGAGGAAATGGAAGGAAGAATGGGGTTCAAGGGGCAGGGCCCTTTTGCTTCATGACATTTAAATCCGAGAACTATTCACAACACAATTTTCCCCCCTAAATAAGATGCCTGACTTTGGTATTTGAGGCGACACCCAGTATTGTTTATTTCTCAGAGTCCCTCCCCCTGCCCCACCCTACAGGTGACATATCCCTGGGGAACCGCTCTCTTTGTCCTTGCCTTGCCTGGCCACAGTCACCAAAGATCTCTGCGCCAAGGCTTGGCATCCAGGCCCCTGAACACCCAGAGAACCATCTTGAGCCTTTCCCTTGTGGACTGTACCCCTCCTCCCACCCCGTATCATAATTAAGCCTTCAAAGCTCAAATAGCAAAGGGCTGGCTCATGGGGACCCACGCTGCAGGGACGTGTGTTACTCTTGATTATGTTTCTGCTCTGCTACCCTCTGAGGCTGAGTTCCACCCTCCAGCTCAGGCCCTCGGAGCCGCAACACAGCAGCCATTCCAGCACCTGGCAGCAAGCCCTCACCCAACTGGGAGCAAAGGCTCGAAGAAGGACAGCCGCCAGGGTAGTAAGAAAGCCTTCATAGACACTTCCCTTTTCAGAGCATTTGCAGGCAAGAATGGAGATTGCTTTGATTCTCTTGGACCAACCATCTCTCCTGGCCATATTGCTGTTCCAACAAAATTGGGTTCTGGGTACAAGAGGAGGGTGGGCTGGTAGAGAGGACCCAGTGTGTCTGCCTTGGTTGTTCTGTGCTATCACTGGTATCTCTCCCCTGTGGGCTAAGTTACGTGTTCATTTTTAGTGCTAAGCTAGGCCTGGCCCATTGCTGGAGCTCAAGAAGTCGCTGACTGGATAAGTGAGAGGAAGTAACTGCACAGAGAATGTTCAAAATCCTTAACTACCGGTTAAGAGGTCAGACAATGACCAATCTAGAACACAGATTCACTTGAATGGTGGGGTTCTGGGAGCCTCTGGCAGTGTCAGGTGACCCTCTTTGGCTCCTGGACTGTGGAAGAGTGGGGAAGTGGTGTCCCAGGCAATCACTAGGAGCTGGACTATAAACACACCAGCATTTTAATACCTGCTACACCCAAACAGTGTGGCTAAATGTCAGCTCTGGGCATCTGAAAATCAGAGAGGTAGAGCTTCCTGTTGGAAGATGCATAGCCTATATTCACCCCCTTGTCCTTCACTCCTGCACCCTGCTGTCCTTCCGTCCTCTGGAGCAAGCAATCACAGCCACTCCTCACCCTCGCCTCCTCAGATAGCTGCTGTGATTTGAATAACCAAGCAGGCTGCTGGATGTCCAGCTGGTAACTGATTTGCCTGGCAAACAGACCCTCAGGTCCTTGGCCCTGCTGCTACTGAGAAGACAGCCTCCCTGCACTTCCAGGAGCTGTCCAGGTTCCAGTCTTGCCCTTGCTTAAGGTTCTTGTGGGTCCTATTGATTGGCCACCCGTGGTGTCTGGCGAGTGTCCTCAGGAACCTGGTTTAGGAGAAGGAGGAGGAATGGTGGTCCCATGGCAGAGTAACTGGAGCCAGCTATGTCAGCTCCCTGGGCTGGTCACAAAATTTGCATGGAGAGAATAAGGCTCCGCAGGGCTCCCTCCCTCTAGTCATCCAGGGCTGAGGCGTGACTACTGGTGGAAGAGGCAGTCATCTGCGTGGGGCCATATCACCATTCCTGGAGGTGATGCCCCGTGCCTTCCTGGTCAGAAGTCGGCGTCCACAGCCACCCAACTGGGGCCACCTGCCTGATCAGCTCCGGGGAGATGCCTATGTCCCAGGTGGGCCCCTCACTGGGCCTGGAGGTGAGGGGTAGGTGAGACACAAAGCATCACCGGCTGGCTTCTCTCCTCAGACTGCAGCAGCCAGCGGGGCCCACCAGCAGACCAGTCTTCTGGCCTCGGGGACTCTTGGGTAGCGGTGAGTCTGCAGCTGGACCACAAGACCCTGCTCAGTTTCACCCCCGCCCGTTCTCAGCCTCAACAGAGCCTCATTGCTCCCCTACTTCCTGAGCCCTTGCACATGCCCCTCCAACCTCAGGACCTTTCCACATATTATTCTCTCTGCTGGGAATGCCTTTCCTTTCTTAGTAGAGCACCCCGTAGGCTTCATCCCAGGCCCCATTTCCCTAGGGTGGGCAGTCACAGTTCCTACCCCAAGATCCCTCTGTCTAGTGGGGCAGAACAAGATTCAAGTCAAGTGGATGGTGATCTGCTTTATGTCAAGTCAGAAAAGGTGACAGGAACAGCATGGGAGAAGACAGGGGTTTCTCAGAAGGGATGTTCAGCTGTGCATGCCCTGGAAGAAGGGAAGTACCAGCCCGAATATAAATGCAACTGGGACTATTTCAGTACGTGTTGAAAGCCAGGAAGTGTTCTAGGCAATGGATATTTACCAGGACAAAAATTCCTTCCTTCCTGGAGCTTTTAATCTGGTGGGGGCTACAGGGATAGACAATAAAATTAGAAAAATCCATGCTACGTTGGAAGATATGCCATGGAGAAATAGAAATCAAGGTCAAGGCAATGGGGAAAGGTCAGGGAAGGCCTTTGCACACATGTATAGCAGTCTCTGGCCTTCCCGGACCTCCTGGTTCCCAGTTCCAGGGATTGTATTTGCTCCAACTGGGGAGTCTAACTCCCATGTCCCTCCCACAGCCCATGCAGGACAGTCTGGCCTCCACTCCCAGGGGCCAGGGGACCCTTGGCTGCCCACTCTGCCCCAAGGCCTTCCCCCTGCAGCGCATGCTGACTCGGCACCTCAAGTGCCACAGCCCTGCTCGCCGCCACGTGTGCCGCTGTTGTGGCAAGGGCTTTCATGATGCCTTCGACCTCAAGCGCCACATGAGAACGCACACCGGTAAGGAAGGGCAGGGGCAGGGCAGGGCTGCTGGGCCCCAGCAGGGTCTGGAATTAAATGGGAAAGAGATGCCCGGGCTGTGGAGTTTCCAGTGTTTGTGTTTATGGGATGGACACAGGCAGAGTCTGAACAACTTAGAGCAGGAATGTGGGAATGCTCCTGGAGGGCAAAGTGGAGAGACTTTGGTTTAGAGGCCATTGCCCTGTCTGTCCTCTCCCTTTGTCCTTCTGCAGGGATCCGGCCATTCCGCTGTGGAGCTTGTGGGAAAGCATTTACACAGCGCTGCTCCCTAGAAGCTCATCTTGCCAAGGTGCACGGGCAGCCGGCCAGCTACGCTTACCGGGAGCGCCGGGAGAAGCTGCATGTGTGTGAGGATTGTGGCTTCACCTGCTCCAGGCCCGACGCATACCTGCAGCACCGGGCCCTACATCGTGCTGCTTGACAATGTGCATCCCACACAACCCACGAGAGGCAAATAAACGCAGGAAACACACGCACAGAACGCAGTATTTATTACACTCGGGAGAGGATAGTTCACTCGGTCCAGCGGTGACCACAGTGTGGGGCCGTGCACACATAGTACAAGCGCATGGCGTCCTGGCAGAAAGAGCGCTCGGTTAGGAAGGTACTATGGAACGGTACAACACCGGAACCTCCATCCAGCAGACCCGCACCCCAAGCTAATAGGCAAAGGGGCCTTCCCCACTGGTAAGGGTGCCCCCCAATATTGGTATCCCTGCCCCCAGGGAGGACCAACCCTGGGACCCACAGAAAGCCTTCCTCCAGCCACTCACCTCTGCCCGAGCACTATGTGACTGGAAGAACACCGCCTCCTTGTGGCCACACCTGGAAGGACAGCCAGCCGTTCAGCCAACCATACCCCTCCCTCCCTTCACCCAGTGAGGACGAGCTACTCTCCATC